AAGAGGTAAAAGAACAAAACGCCCGCAAGAGTATTCTCTAGGCTGTTGAAACAAATAAGGAGACTACTAAGAATGTGTTCCAGAGGTTAAGAGGAGATTCAGAGCCTAAGAGTTTATCTGAAGTGTTTAGAAACTTTGAAGCCTCTGAAGAAGTGGAAGATAAAGATGTGAGGTTACCAAGCTGGGTGGATGTTAAGGCTCCCTAGCCAACCAACCATAGCAACATGAGGCAAGGAAAGGCAAGAAAGAACCATGAGCCCGATACCACCAGTTAGAAAGGTAAATTCAGCCCGACTAGGCTGAAAGTGGTACGTAGTGTGTAAAGACAGAAGGCTTGTCAGGGAAATAGGGGCATCCATGATAAGATGGGTTCAGAGGTAACACAAGGCTCATATGAACTCACTAAAAATTCCTACTATTTTAGAAGCTTTTAAGAATGTTAAGTTCAAGTAGTTTACCTAAGGAGGAGAGAGACGACCTAGTTAGAGAAGCAAGAGAGAAGTAGAAAGGGCTAATAAAAAGGCTGAAGGCGGAATGGATCATGTTCCTTAAACCCCTATTCCAAGGAAATACAGAATGTTAAGAAGAATGCAAGAAAGCATGGTGATGGTACCTACACTAGGTTGGAATCTAGAGCCTATTTGTTTTAGAACCATTTTTCCTGAAAGAAGGATACTCACTTTTGAGCTTCAGAAGCTACATAATTTCAACACAATAGAAGAAAAGGAAATGCCTGAGTTGATGTTAACTAAAGATGCCCAAGCTTGGATGAATCAGTTTCTGTGCCAGATTGGAGAAAAGAAAGAAGGAACACCTGGACCTAGCAACTTCAATGTCAACATGACCTATGTATTGTCTTCCATGTTCTGTGCAAAACCAAATCAAACCAGTAGTAATGGAGGATGATTATTTAGCACAAAAGCCAATGATGGCTCTTGTAAACATTGAAGATGTTAGTAAGGAGGGGTTAAGCTTGGCAGACATGCCTAACCCTACACAAAAAAAAGCCCGAGAGAGTTTATTATGATAAGATGGTATTAAAAAAAAAAAACCAAGTCTGGCCTCAGCAAACCATCTAAAGCCCATATACATGATAGCTTATTTAGAAGGGGTTCTCTTTAAAAGGGTGTTGATAGATGAGTGACAGCAGTTAATGTACTACCACTTAAACAGATAAAGTGACTTTGCAGAGGTGAGGAAGACCTTATTCCTACTGGTCTCACAATGTCTAGTTTTTCGAGGGCCATCACCAAAACACATGGGATACTGCCCTTAGAAGCAGACTTAGGATCCAAGAAGATTATGTTGGCATTTTTTTGTGGTAGACAATAACTTTTCTTATGGGGGCGTTGCTGGAAAGAGACTAGATACACCAGAGTTTGTTTATACCATCTACCTTTCACCAACAAGTTGTTGTTTATCATGAAACCACTACTGCAGAACAAGGATTTGGGGAGATGGTGGAGGTTGAGTCACGGCCATTTCTCCCCACAGCTAATGTTGCTAAGGCTAATTTCTACAATCCTAATGTTGGGATCCTACAATGTCTAAATGTTGATCAAAACGGTCGCCCTACTAAGGTGATGGTCCAAAAGCTCTTAGAACAAGGACTTTCTCTTACTCAAGAGAAATAGGATAGACCTCATATTATCCCTACCCGCCAACTCCAATGATGACAGATCGAAAGAGAAAGGACCAGGTGGTAACAGTCAGGTCCTTAATCAAGAGACTACTGGATTACGGAAGTTAACAAAGAGATATCAAGGAAAGCTCAGCTAAAGAAATGGCAGAGTGGGGAAAGGGAACTTCAGGCACTAAAGATGATCAAGGAAGAGAAATTTTGGAAGAAGAAATGAAGGCAGCCATCCACATGGCAGAATGTATATATGACTTGGATTGGCCAGAGGATGAGCTCGAGGCTCCAAAGCCAGTAGAATTTTTGTCTACAGAGCCCGATAAGCCAGCACCCGAAGTTCAAGATCCCTTAAAAACCATTAATTTGGGAACTGAGGAGGATCCAAGGCCATAGTGGCTTGCTATAAACCGTAGATCGGGCAAAGATAGTTAATCTTTTGCACGGATTCAAAGACTGTTTTCCATGGCATTACACAAAAATACTAGGATTAGACTCCAGCTTAGTAGAACATAGAATGCCTATTAAAGAGAGGTACAGACCTGTAAAACAAGCACCAAGGAGGATGTCAAAAGAAATAGAAGAAAAAGTCAAGAAAGAAATTGAGAAGCTAGTAAAGGCAGGCTTTGTTAGGCTTGCAAAATATGTATTGTGGTTGAGCTGTAACTAATGTCATTTGATGTTGTGTCGATTATAGAAACATTAATGAAGTAACTCCTAAGGATGAATACCCTATGCCTATGGCTAACTTATCCATTGATGCAATTGCAAAACACAAAGTATTATCTTTTACGGATGGAAATGCTGGATATAATCAGATAAAAATGGCTAGGACATGTAGTCATGCCCTTCGAGCTGAAAAATGTTGGTGCTACTTATCAAATGGTGATGAATGCTAATTTGCATGATTTGATCGGGCATAGCATGGAGGTATACATTGATGACATCGTGGTGAAGTCTAGAACTGAAGACCAACACTTAGAAGACCTCAGACAAGCTTTGCGGAGAATGAAAACCCACAAATTGAATATGAATCCTAGAAAGTGTGCCTTCGGGGTTAGATCAGGCAACTTTCTAGGGTTCTTGGTCTATCAAAGAGGTGTGGAAGTGGACAAGAACAAAATTAAGGCTATAATGGAATCACCTACCCCGACTAACAAAGTGCAATTGTAAAAGGAGACAACGTCTTAGATACAAACCGTCTAGAATGTTTCTAATTGTGCCATTTGGACTCCACATTGATTTCAACCCAAACTCCTTCATTCTGGCCTCATCTACAAGGTACGGATATGAGAAAATGAAATTAGATGAGACAACATTTAAATGTCTAGGCAGAGCAGATAGATCATCTTATTGCTAAGGAAAGTATCTGAGTAGCCATAATGTCCATCGTAAAAGATTCAAGGTCCTCGTGATAATACATACAAAACAACATTATAGAAAAGCAAAAACAACTAACCAGGTGCTATTGTAGCACATTACACAGCAACATTTTGCCTAAAAGGCATAAAAGGTTAAAATCAAACATATAGAAGAAGCGAAAAATAACAATTCAAAGGTAAGAAATACAAAGACACTAAACAAATTCTGAATCAAACTACTCACTTAATAGTGGCTTTAACACTCTCTACTGCAAATCTGTCATCGATCGCATCACAATTCAAAATCTCTAAGGCATAGTATTTTATATCCAAGTCCAGATAGGGAAAAATAAGCAGTAATAGCATACAAATGAAAAACTCGGATTAAATCAAATAAATTCTACAACAAAAGCATCAGTAAACTAAAATTCACATTGAAATGTATATCACACTTTGTCCTTAATCGTTTTCTTAATGATCCTCGTCCTTACATCACCTAATTGACAAAATAATACCACAATTAATACAGTACACTGTCACAACAGCCAAAATTACAAAAAAAAAATAGCTCCAATTACAAAAAAATCCACCAAAAATATTAGCAAGTAATGATGAAGTAAAACCACAGAAAAAGGGGAAAACCCCTAAATAACAAGAGAACTTATGGAGAATAGATAGGATGGGAATTTGAAGAAAATTGATGAAACAACACCAACAAAAAACAAATTATTCTACCCGAATGAGAAGAGATGATGTTGAATTCGACTTTCTAGAAGCAAAAAGAAAGAATTGAGAGATGACGAAAAAATTAGGGATAGGGAAAGGGGAGATTTGAGAGAGGGAACAAGAATCATAAACCCTTACCTGGTTCAATTGTGGCTCAGCATCAATGGTTATGGCGAAAGTGGCAGAGAAGGTTTTAAGCTTTTGAAGAGAGGGAGATAGACGCAAAGCAAGAAGGAGAGAGGCAAAGAGCTAGAGGGAGACTCGAGCGTCTGAGTCTCATTTTAATTTTTTCTTTTCTTTTCTCTTTTAGCGCAGAACAAAGCGCCAAATCTAAGCGCGCAGAAAATTTTAGTGAAATTTAATATTTATTGTGAGGGCCGCCTTACACGTCGCACAGAAGGTGTTGCAAATGCCATCTTTTCTTGTAGTGTTAGTTACTTGGTCTGTGCGCCACGTAGGCTTGGTAGTTTTTAGGGTCAACAATTTGTTTATGAAATTGAAGTAAAAGGAAAGATGCAGCAACCCCCATTGTTTTTTCATAAAGAATTCAGAAAAACAATTGCACATTTAAATTTTGTAAAAATCACAATATATGAGCGACGGCAATCACCATGTCGCTAACTATTATGAAAAAGGCGACAGAGCATGATTGCAACAGCTTCTACCGTCACTAATATGTAGCGATGGCTCTCTGCCGCTGCAAAAGAGCATGAACGTTGCTACCTATTTGGTCCCCCAATTGCCGTCGCCATGCCGTCACAAAAGCGTTTGGCGACAGCAGAATGATATTTTGACTGCAATCTGCCATCGCAAATGTAATTTTTGCCCAGTAGTGATATGAAAAGATCAAGATGCATCTCCTATTTCAATGTAACCCTAACCACGCATGCATCAACGAAAATAGGGGCATAAATTGGTACAAGGGCATAATAACTCTGTAGTGTTCTTAACCAAAAGTTGAATAGATTCTTAGTAGCTTAAGTACCCAAGATCTCCCCATATATCACCAATGTGGGATTGAGATATTGCAAGCTAAAAGTCAACCTCCATGTCAAAATGATTCTCTCTTTTTTACAAGGAACAATATAGTGGTATTTCATTATTCATCTCAAGTAAATACAAGGGTGTCATTGGGTACGTTATTCCAGTGACCAATAAATTGATCTGGAGTGAATTTCCACAGTAAACCCTAAAAGGATACCACAAGCACAATTGCTACCAGTACTGATATGTCACAATAAACGATAGACGCAATAGAGTTATACTATCCACATTGGTCATCGCTAAATAGTGAGGCCACATAAAGTTATTGCAGTAGAGTTAGACCACATCAAGTTATCATTGACATACGTTACCACATAACTCATCGCTCAAAGTGGAAGACCAAATCTGGCATCACGACAACACGACCATGACACCAACAAGGCGAGCAAAACACAACTGCACAACTCCGAGAAAGGAACCACTGGTCAGCTCATCTCCATAAAGGAGAAGGACACTCATGCCAAGGCCCCTTGCAACTTCGCCGCTCTAATGAGATTCTGGTTTCCACTGGTCAACTCATCTTAGTGAAGGACAAGGACACTCATGGCAAGAACCCCCTGCAACTTCACCGCTCTAGTGGATTTCGCTTTCCACACGTCAAGCACCCTACAATCTAATCGCATAACGCAGCTAACCACCAAATCCAATGGCACCAGCCCCAACCTTAAGATCTAATCGCATAAGGCAGGAGATGCCAGATCCGAAACGCATAATAAAGTGGAGTTGATAGATCCGAGTGCACTAGTCCGTGCAGCCACAAAATCAGTCAAGGTAGTAGGCTATGGTTTTTTTTTACTTTTTTTCTTTTTTTCTTTTTTCTTTTTTTTTTTTTTTTTTGAAAGGGGAGAGAGAGATTTTTTTTTTTTTTTTTTTGACAAAATATTATGACTTCCCAACAAACAAACTAGTTGGTGTTACATTAAATGTTAAACCACAAATCTAGTACTAAATTTAAAATACGATTATGACTTCCGAACAAACAGTCCTTTCCCCGAAAATGATGCAAGTTATCGTACAAAATGGTTCAAGCACTCGTTCGTGGTGGCTTATTGATGTAGAATTCCAACTGGTGAGGGTGGTGACAGAAAGTTTTTCTCTTGTATCATATGCATGCATGATTTTGTTTTCTTTTTATGGTTCACTTTTCTTCTACACTCAGCAAGTCTGCATGGCCAAGCTTCTTCCTCAATGACTTGGCCAACCCCGCTGCATCAACTCCGTCTCCAGTAATCACCAGTTGATCTCTATTGGCCCCCTTAAAGGCCACTGATGTTACACCTGCAACATTATATACAATTGAAAAACATTTTATCATACAAAAATTTAACAAATTTGATTAATTCGCTTACAATAGTTTTCTTTTGTTTTGCACTTTGTTGATCAAATTAACATGAACACATATACTCTAAAGAGTACAAAACACACCGTCTTCTGCAACAGCTATTTCCATGGCCTTGGACCGACATTTTGCACATCTAAACTGCGCCTCAATGGTTATGGTTTGCTGTAGCACATCATGCAACCAACCCGACAAACATGTCAAAATCAAGTAATGAGTATCAACCATATGAACTAAAGATGTAAACTTTCAAGGGATTTAGACCATTAAACCTTTCAAATGAAAATGAAGAAAAGGTTAATTTTTTCCGGGAAAATCATATTAGCTATGAAGTAAAAACAAAACATACATGTTTCGGGATTAGTATATACATACCTTCATATTCTCCACTAGTATTAGTACTGAACAAAACCAAGATTTTGGGTTTTCCAAGAAGATCTAGTCGTATGTCGTATATGGATGGATGTTCTTCTTCTGTAAGAATGCGAGTGAAGAGAAAACTGATCAGTGTAGGTTTCTTTTATAGGGTCCACCATTCTAGTACAGCTGTTTGTGATTTCGTCTGATGGTGTGAATGCACCTTGACGAACTAATTGCGATCCACGTTTTGCGGTTTGAACGTACACTGGTGACCTTCCAGACTATGCCTCCCGTTTTTGCTTACTCATGTTCTGTAATTTAAGAAGACGACTTCGACCAATAAAGAGAAGACGACTTCGAAAGTCAATTTAAGCAAGTCAATTAGTAACTTAGCATATAAGTAATAAGTCACCAGCTATCGTACAAAGAATATAGAGGTATTTGTTGATTTGCCCCAGGAAATTGTATGCAGCTGCCAATTTCCCCGTTGAACTTTTTTAATTAGCCAATTTCCCCCTTGAATTTGAATTTTAGCCGATTACCCCCTTGAACTTTTATAAATAGCCAATAACCCCCCCCCCTGAAGTTAGATTTTAAAAAACTTTCATTCAGTTTTTCATCCATCCAATTTTTCATCATTTTTGCCCTCATACTGTTTGTCATGTGTTGTTTCCATGATCAAGATGGATGGAAAATTGGATGAAAATTTTTAAAATCTAACACCAGGGGGACATTGGTTATTTATAAAAGTTCAAGGGGGTAATCTGCTAAAATTATAGTTCAAGGGAGAAATTGTCTAACTATATAAGTTCAAGGGAGTAATCAACTAAAATTAAAGTTCAGGGGGCAAATTGGCAGCTCTATACAAGTTAATGGGGTAAATCGACAAATATGCCAAGAATATAAGGTAAAATACTCGGAAACCTAATTATAAAAGTTCAAGGGAGTAATCGACTAAAATAAAGTCCAGGGTGCAAATTGGTATCTCCACACAAGTTCAGGGGTAAATCGACAAATATGCCAAGAATATAAGGTAAAATACTCGGAAAAGGCATCACATGCTAGCCCCAACTTAGCCATATAATGTTAGGTTTCTACTCGTGCATCCCGAGTTTAAATCTATCCCTTCTCTTAAATTATTATAATAGTTTCGAACTAATAAGACGGGCTTCAAAACTTTGAGTTTTAATCAAAAGTCATCCTATAACTTTATTTAATGATAAGGACAAGATAATGAAAAAAAAAACCTTGGTAAAGCACCTACAATACTTCATCATCGCCTCATTATTCTTCATCTCCTTCTCCTCCATCAACTACTCTCCCTAACAGCAACACCTCTCCTCTTTCTCTCTAACAATTTTATATTTTCCAATATTTTCTTCGCATTTGTATTAGACTAGTGCTTGTTCACGAATTTAGTCAAATTCGTCCCTTGTAGATTATATCCACAGAAGTAGGATTAGGAATTTTATATTGTTTTCACACACACATAGAGATATACAAACATATATATATATATATATATATATATTAAATAACTACATATATAATTAATCTTCATCTACAGTTAAGTTTCATAAAAAGTGTGTATGAGGATGCGGGGTCTGCGCGTCATTTTTCTTATAATTTTTTTAATATTAAAATTATATTTTTTTTCATTAAAATTTAAGTTATTTTGTCATTTTTATTAAAATTTAAGAGTTTTTCATTAAAATTTAAGTCTTTTTTATTAAATAAAGTTATAGCATGATTTTTTTATTAAAATAAACTTAGCCCAATCCTTTTTCATAAATTGACAGGCACCAATTCTCTTGTTTGGATTCATAAACATAGAAATTTAGAATTTCCGTGTGGAAAAAAAACTTGTTATTTGAGACCTCCAAATCCCAAGTTCAAATTTCATGTAAATAGGTGTCATTTCTCAATTTCTATGGTTGAGAGTTTAAAAATAACAAATTCTGTATTCAATTCCATTGTTTTTTTAGGTTAACCAAACAAGAAAATTTACAAATTCTAGAAAATAAAATCTCGTCATTTCAATTTCCGTCATTTTTAAATTCCTTAGTAATCTTAAGTACTAAGTCAGCACAGCTATAGTACACAGAATATAAGGTAAAGGTACTTGGAAAAAGCATCACATGCTAGCCCCAACTTAGCTATAGAATGTTAGGTCTCTACTCGTGCGTCCCAAGTTTAAATCTTCCCCTCTCTTAAGTTATTATAATAGTTTCGAACTCTCTCATACTCTTTAATCATAATAATTATTTTTGTTAAAAAAAATTGTATAATCAAATTTGTACTAGCCCCAATATTTTTGCCGCTCAATGCGTTGGCTGGGGTGGTCGATGAGAACCGATGTCATTAATGAACGCCATTTGTGACGCAAGTGCTGCAGGAAAGTTTGAGTTTGAATAGGTGATAATTTTACAGGTGCAAATTTTATTTTATCATTTATTTTAGGTTTTTATGACAAATGGTCTATAACATTGATCTAACTTTTCATTTTAGTTTGTTAATTTCAAGATCAATTAATTTTGTGTGAGAAATTTGTTGTCGCAAATCAATTTGGTCATTCTATTTCAATTTCGTTTATTATATTAATGTGGCACAAATGTAGGGTTCTACAAACCCAATAGTAGTATGTGTTGACCCTAAAAAACACAAAACCTGCATGGCGCACAAGCCGAGTAACTATGACCTAATTATGTCCTTTTTATGAATACAGACATGCCAACTTGCAACCAAGCTCAGCCAAATGAGTAAAATAGATGCGGTGGTGGTGGTAGTTTCGAATGCGCTGCTAACTTCCCTACTCGAGCGATTATGGCCAAGGAAGGAACACGTGGTTTGGCTGCCTCCATCATATTTGTTAGAGTATAGGAGTGCCGAATCAGTTTGAGATAGAAGGACACATGTATTTAAAGGAGATGAGTGTTTTGATGGTGAACATGATTCGGCCGTCTAAATGTCAAACTGAAAAATGCACTTGAGAGTAACCAATCATAGAACACTCCACTTCACTGGGAAGCTAATGAAATGACTTCTTTCAGTGAATAAGCTAAAAGCTTCTTCACCGACCGAGACTTGGATAAATAACCAACCAACTAGAAGCAATTCTATTTGTCTAAACTGAAGATGCTCCTTTGATCGCTTGATTCTACAACTCCAACGTTGTTAGTCCAAACTGAAGATGTCATCAGTTGTCAACACAATCATGTTAACTTATCTGAATTGAAGATGTGTTGACGGAAGGGTTAGGATAGTATTTTTTTTCCTCAAAAAATGTATGAAGGACTTCATGTAGAGCATTTTGAGTTGTTTGTTAAGTTGAAGGGGGTTTTCTACGTTGCAAAACATCTTGTGTTTATAGGGGGTGAATTCCTTGATGGCCAAATCTATCGAATGATATAGTTTTGATAATATATCAATTCTTCGACATATTCTCTGAATATACTCGGAATTATTCTCGATCAAAACTCTACTACCTCCAAATCTCATCGCCTTCAACTAGGATTCTTAACCTAGATTTATTATGCAATTGATTCAATTTTTATCTGAAAACCAATCCTGATTCTTAACGTATGGGCCGAGAGCGTGCAAAGTTGGGTTCAAACATTGCCCCAAGTTTTCGTGACCTTCTGCCTACACGCCAAAAGGTTAAGGAAATGAATCTTGTCTCTAGTTGATCACCGAACACATCACCTTTATTTTCTAGTATCGTCTTGTGAAACAAAATGAAATTTATTGATGTTTAGAGAAACAATAATATGAACCTTTTCACCGAATAAACCAACCCGTCCACATGAAGGTCTAACAACTAAAGTGGATGGCCATTAAAATTGTACTCTTTGTTTTTTTTTTTTTGGCAGACAGCCGCTTGTTGCCTCTTTATTTTCTTAATTATCAATCTAAACAGTAGGATAGTTAAGAAAATAAAAGTTATTATTTTCCTAGCAAACGAAACCAAAAATATGAGCAGAAGTAGTATAGGCACCATCAGCGACAGCAGCTATCTTCATGGCCTTGGCACGACGTCTTCTGCTTCTCATCTGCACCTCAATGACAATCTTTTGCTGCGGAATTAATTCAAACATATGATCATTTTAGTCATATAAAACATACTCTCCTGGTACGACATAACTTAATTGTTTTTTTTTTTTTTTTAATTCTAGGCTTCTAGCCTTGCGTTGAAATAATTAACAAAATTATTTTTAAATTGATCGAAACGTACTCATAAGTCTTTCAATCCATAACGAAAAAATCAAAATTGCTCAATCTTTTATATGGAGAGAGAGAGAGAAGGAAATAGATGGAGAATTTTCAACAAAAAAAAAATATATATATATATATATATAAATATACTTTAGGAAACGATTAGTTAGTTTCTTTAATCATAAATATATAGAAAATAATCAGCAAACTTTTTAACATATGTTGACAAAATATAGGAGAATTGTCAGTTGTCAAACTATAATTAAGATTATTATAACCATCACATAGATCAACAACTGACAGTTAACACGTACACAAGCATGAGTGTCGATTTTGAACTAATCGGTTACTCTTAACAGTATTGAATTAGAATACCAGAAGAACAGAAGTAAAGAGAAGCAGAAAGAATTTAGAGAGAGAGAGAGAGAGAGATTGAGAGAGAAGAAATGAGAGATTGTATTGACAGAGTTGTAGTCGATAAGTACAATGTGTTGCTCACAGCCTTTTTATACACACCTCACACATTTCATTTCTCTAACTAACTCTTTTATACAGTTAGCTTTCTCATAACCTCTGTAACTAACTATTAACTATTTTCTTGATGACATGGCATAGGATGTGGCATCTTCACAGTCGATATGAGTCAACATCCCCCCTCAATCTCAACTAGGGTAACCTAGTTTGAGATTGAAATAATATCTAGTAAACACAAGACTGTGTAATCCCATTATGTACTCTCTCTCCCTTACGAAATGGTTAATGGAACATCAGTTGTCTGTTCATCCGTAGGCAAATATTCAATCACTAAATCACCATTATGTACTCTCTCTCCCTTACGAAATGGTAGTCAGTATCAAGGTGTTTAATCCTTGAATGGTACACTGGATTAGCACTAAGTGCTATGGCAAACATATTGTCACAGTTTATGGTTAATGGAACAGATAACACAACCCTCAAGTCCTTCAAGATTAATCTGATCCAAGCTACATCAACTGCAGTGTGTGCCAATGCCTTGTATTCTACTTCTGTTGAGCTTCTCAAAACAGAAGTTTGCTTCTTAGATTGCCACGAAATAGCATTGTTACCAAGGTAAACAACATAACCAGTTACTGACCTCCTTGTATTTAGATCAGGTGCCCAATCTGCATCCGAGAATGCTGTTAAGTTCACCTCTGTATCAGAAGAATAATTGACTCCACATTCTGCAATCCCTTGTAGATATCTGATAATTCGTTTGACAGCACACAAATGCACATCTGTTGGTGATGTCATGAACTGGCACACTGAATTCACAGCATAGGCTATGTCTAGATGCGTGAATGTTAAGTACTGTAAGGAACCAACCAAGCTTCTGTACAAAGTAGGATCCTGCAACGGTTTGCCCTCATTGAGAAAAACATTCTTTATATCTAATTGCCTCAATTCCCATTTATATATAGCTGCCAAAGATAGTATTAACCTTACTGTAGTGTGTCTCACTACTGGATTGAAGGTTTTTGAATAATCTAGACCCTGTTCTTGTGAATACCCTTGAGCCACTAATCTGGCTTTGTACCTAGAAACACTTCCATCAAGATATTTTTGATTTTATAAACCCATTTACTCCCAATGATTGATCTGTCACGTGGAGGATGAACTAACCACTATGTCCCTTGAGCTTTGAGGGCATCATAATCATCCTACATTGCAGTTTGCCAATGAAGAATGGTAGATGCTTTTCTAAATGTTGAAGGCTTCTGAATCTTTGATTGCAGCATGGAAGAAAATCCACCAGAAAACTCATATTCATCATTCAATTGCAAGGTTTGTAATTCTGGATATGAAGCACTGAAACCAGTGTACGATCTCTTTGTAATTGCACCAGACTTTAATCTTGTAACCATAAGATGACTTGAATCTTCAGGAATAACTGATGATGATGAAGAAGGAGAGAGTGATAGGATTACCTCCAATTGTGAAGCTTCATGGACAAGTAACAATGATATTGTACCTTAAGTAGATGCTGAAGGAGAAGTTGCAGAGGACCCATCAGATGCATTCTGAGAATCTGCCAAAGCTTGAACTAAAGAACTTGACCCCTATGTACTGTACCTGAACTGTTCTCCAACAGTTTCTGGACTTGTGTTTTGTTGCCCTCGAGATTGAGAAGCCTCTACTTGTGAATTTGTACTAGAGGTGGACAACTGAACAACAATAGGAGATATCCTTGTATTCTATGGCATACTTGTATTCCCAGTGAATGTTGTATCTTTATTCTTGTAAGGAAACATATTTTCATCATGAATCACATGTCTAGAAAGAATTAGCTTATTACTACTTCTGTCGTAACAGACAACACCCTTATAAACAGCAGCAAATCCTAAAAACATACACATTTTTTACCTTGATTGAAGCTTATGTTGATTGTATGGCCTTAAGAATGGATATACACCAGATCCAAAAAATTTCAAAGTAAGCAAATCTAGATCTTTTTGAAAGAATAACTGATAAGGTGATTTCATACCCAAGTTTTTACAGGGCATTCTATTGATCATAAAAGTAGCATGATTACAAGCAAAATTCCAAAACTATAACGGAACACTAGCTTCTGTCAATAAGGTTATTGCTATCTCAACCAAGTGCCTATGTTTCCTCTCAGCAAGGCAATATTGCTGAGGAGTGTAAGGACATGACACAGAGTGTACAATGCCTTTTGATGCTAAGAAAGCTTGAAACTTGTTACTCATATATTCAGATCCACCATCAGTTTGTAAACACTTGATTGATATATTGAACTGTGTTGCAACAAATGAATAGAAATTGCCAAATACTTGGAATATGTCTGATTTATTTATAACTGGAAAAATCCACAGAAACCTTGAAAACTCATCGATGAAGCTTACATAGTACCAAAAACCTTCTAGAGACTTAGTTGGAGCTAGCCCCCATATATCAGAATGTACTTTATCAAAGATAGAACTAGCTCTACTTTCTTTTATATAGAATGGTTGTCTACACATTTTTCCAGACATACAAGAAGAACATACTGAAGGTAGAGAATCCTCATTAATAGAATGTCTAAAATTCCTTATCATAGCAGAAAGTACTTCCTCAGATGGGTGCCTGAGTCTCTTGTGCCAAATTGAGACATTCACAAGCTTTTCCAATTAGTGCAACCGCCTTATTTGAACCAGCAACAAATCTCCTTGAAAACACATTCAGTGGAATCTCATATAGCTCTCCTCTACTCCTGCCTTGGTACAATATCATTCCTGTTACCTTATCCTGTATGAAAAACACAATTTCATCACAAATGAACCAACATTCATTATCCTTGCAAAGTTTCTTTACAGATAAAAGATTGATTCCAATAGCTGGAACATGAAATATATTTCTTAAATGCAATGAATGATGTGGAGTAGAAAGAGTTGCATAACCAATGTGTTTAACCGTCAAACCTTCACCATTACCGATAGTGATCTTCTCATCCCCATTATATGTCATTGGTTGATTTAGATTGCCAAGGTTTAGTGTCATGTGATGAGAGGCACCAGTGTCTAGAATCCAAGTATCAGCAGCAGGAATTCCTTGAGCTTGTTGTCCAAATTCAGCTGCAGAGACCTGTGTAGATGCTTGAGCTGAATAGGCAGTGAGTGAAGAAGGTGGAGGTGCACCTTAATAGGAATAGTTATTTCGATGTCTACATTCCAAAGTACTGTGACCCTTTTTCCCACAGATTTGACAAAGGGTCACCTGATAGCCATTATATGATGATCCATTATCACTCCTATTTGGACAGTTTGGAGCCGTATGACCCTTGCGAGAACAAATCTGGCATTCAACCACAGTCCCAGCTTTGAAGTTTGTATTACCATTCCAAGAATTTCTATTTCCAGTATTAGAATAGCCATTATAGTTGTTACTCCCTCTCTGTCTATTCCCATTGTAGTAAGGCCTTGAGTTACTGAATGAGCCATAACCATTTCTATTGTAGAACTGAGAAGTATTGTACCCATTTCTATTCTGAAACCTGTTATTCCCTTGATACCCCTGATTATCAACAGATCTGGATCCTGCATTTGAACTTTCACCTTGTGAATACCTCGAATTTTGGTTGCCACCTTTGGATTGTTCTCCCTGAACATACATCGCAGCCACTTGCCAAAATATTGATCCTTGCTTCTATCACAGATTCAGCACCAATCAGCTGTGCTTGAAAATCTTTCGGAGGAATAGAGGTCTCTCTTGCCAAAACAACAGTCTTCACCATATCAAACTCAGGTGGTAATCCGGACAAAGCAGTTATGACCAAATCATTATCAGTAATTCTCTCCCCTGCAGACAAAAGTTGATCATGAATAGACTTCAGTTTGAGGAAATACTTATCAATAGAGTCACTTCCCTTTTGAATTGTATGGAAATCAATTTTAAGTTGATTTATACTGGCCCTTGACACAGAAGCATATCTTTCCTGTAAATTTTTCCAAGCCTCATGTGATGTTTTACACCTTATTACATATTCCATAGCATCATCTGACAACGTAGCAATCAACAGACTTAACATTGCCATATCCTTCTGAACCCAAGATTTATAAGCTTCTATTATTTCTTTAGTCACTCCACTCTCAGTATCAATTACAAACTTTGGTGGACACAGAGCTTCACTAGTAAAGAACTCCAAGAAATCATAACCTCGTAAAACTGACTGAAACTGATAGTTCCACTTAACAAAATTGTCATCTTGCAATTTCACAGTTAACATGCCAAGCAAATTCTCAATTCGTATTGATTTATCCGACATCTTGATTACTTAATTCTTTTCACACCAATCAACAATCTTCAACAACTGATCACAATATACAAATACCAATTCTTCAACACACACCAATCTTTCAAGAAAAATCACAATTCGAAAAGCAACTTCAACAACTGATCACAATAGACAAATGCCAATCTTTCACCAATTATCAACTTCACAATATACCAACAATCAACAATAATGAGTAATCTTTCAACATCAGTCTTCAACAATGATCAACATCGCAAAGCAACAAGCTCAGGCATTTAGCATTTAACTGTCTTGGCATCGGCCTTCTTGGCTCCATTCTTTACAATTTTCTCAGTAATGACACAAATCAGTGAGTCCATTCCTTATCACAAACACACATACACTTCTTCTACCATCAACAATTCTTGACATCGGCCTTAATCATACACAGAAGAGAACCCAGATACAAACAACCAAACAAAACACCCAAAATCGCCATAACTCTTCACTGATGCAAAAACACAAACACTTGGTGTGCAGAAAATAAGAAAGAAAGGAATCGACCTGATATCCAATTCAGCAACCCAAGAATTAAAGAAATCCAATCAGCAAGTCTCCAAGAACTGCATCGAACTCGTCAGCGGAAGAAATAGCACCAAGGATCGTCCCGGCGATTGATACCATCTTAACAGTTTGAATTAGAATACCAAAAGAACAGAAGTAAAGAGAAGCAGAAAGAATTTAGAGAGAGAGAGAGAGATTGAGAGAGAAGAAATGAGAGATTGCATTGATAGAGATTGTAGTTAATAAGTACAATGCGTTGCTCACAGGCTTTTTATACACACCTCAAACATTTCATTTCTCTAACTCCCTTATACAGTCAGCTTTCTCATAACCTCTCTAACTAACTATTAACTGTTTTCTTGATGACATGGCATATGATGTGGCATCTCACAACCAAAATGGCATATGATGTTGGCATATGTACACCCTAGCCAAATAGCAAAGAATGCTATATATGCTTACGACTCTGTCCTGCTACTTTCTTCGTAACTATCCTTTCTCCGCAGGCACACACTTTATGCACGCGAGAGGCTTTTTTTTTTTTTTGTAAATCACGTACGCAATGCGCAACTTTAGTTTTTAATATAAATTCTGCAATTGTTATTGCAAACACCTTGTTTGGCTAAACCACTTAACCAAACTCATATAAGTTTACAATCCATAAAATACTTGAGATTTAGTTGTGTACATTCCCAGTTCAGTGCCAGTGGCTCTTCCTTATTTGAACAAATAAGACGGATCACTTTCATACATACCTGCATTGTTAAAGACACAATATTTAATTTGCAGAAATTGGCTAAAAGATATTTCCAAAACTATATCAACAAATGAAGGGAAAAAAAAGTGTGCTACAATGATTTCAGTATTTAAACAGATTACAATTGACAATATAGCACAAAAAAAAATTTAATCAAATCTCAGCACCTCGAAGCAGACCAAGGAACTACTTCGGCCTAATTTTACACAAATATCCTAGCTGTCTCATTCTCTTCCCTTAACTGCTAAATATAATTTTCTGAAATTGACTTCACAAAACTAATTAATTATTGGGGGTTTCATAATATGATCTGAATAAGCAAACCGACCCTGGTGTGGACAAGTAAGTTTCTACCCGCAGACTGGATCAAAGGCCCGCAGTTTCGTTAAGACAATTACATTGAAGGACTTCACAACCAAATGACAGTGCAACAAGAGTCATATTTTCAAAACCCTTGCACTAATTGTGTTCGCACTTTTGCTTTGGCTAGATGTGAGTTTTTGTGATTAATAAGTTATGTGGCCGGTCAAGTCTTTTAACGATGATTCTATAGTCTCGCCCTTTGTAATAACTTTATATCTCGTTCTTCAGCGATGACCGATGTGTCCGCTGGTATAAGTTTGTGGCGTCTACCATTTGTAACTGAATCTAAACTAGTGGCGATGGTACGGATGTGTTTCTGGTAGTCATATAAGGGTTTTACTCAGTTTGTGTGTCCTTGTAAATTTACTCCAGATCAATTTTCTTATCACTAGAGCCAAGATGTTATTAACATTTGTATTTATATGCGTTGACCAATAAAATGCTACTCTTATCTTTGCTTGTGAAAAAAATAAAAGGTTTATAAAAAAAGGTATAAGATAATTTGGAAGCCAACTGTGAGATCATGAGCTGAGGTCATCTAATTCTAGGCTTACCAGCCAGCCAAAAGCTTGTCACTCCGTATTAGGTTCCGCAAACCGATGGGAAGGCAATTTAGGCTAATCAAATGACTTGAAATTGTGAACTAGAAACTTGTTGTGTATTAATTGTGTAGGTATTTGGAAGTAGATGTGAATGCTTTTGCATTAGGAATTAATAAGTTTCCTTAACAAGTAATCAATCTTCTAACATTAGGTTCAGACAAAAAATTTCATTTTTCTTCAGTATAAATTCAAAGCACTGATTGGGTGATGCAGACATTGACTGCCTGCGTGGTGAAGGGATTGAGCCAAGTACAGGTGGGGTTTAGGGTTTAGGGTTGCGGGCCTTGCGACAAGATGGTATTGACGCAACGTTGGGGGTGGTGACAGTGTTAGGGGTGGTAGCTGGCCTTACAAAGGCTCTCCTTTTGTTTGAATCTCTAAAGCCTCAACAGTTCAACAGTCAGTCAGAGATCTCAGGTTTCTGCAGAAAGGCAGTCAGAGATCTCAGGTTTTTATATAACCAACCACACATGAAACTTGGACTGGAAATACAGCTCTACATTCTATGCCAAACACATCAACATTTAACAAATGTTATAGCAGTCTGGTTACTAACAATATAAACAGAAACTTCGGAAGTGCATGTTACACGTCCTGGTCTTCGGCGTATCGTTGAGGATGAACAACAAGAATCATCCTACTGACAAAACAAGACTGGCCCTTGTGTTTTAAATCAAAGGCAGTTAGTAAGGCCTCTCGTTTGTCCACCTGAGTGTCGAGAAGATACAAATACACTACAACCTGCAATGAATTGATTCATCATAAGAAACTATGAAATCATATAAAACAACGTAAGGAGAAAATATCTAAAGGCAAGCCAGTCAATGGAACAATGTAACAGAATGTTGTAATTGTTTACTAACATGAAGGAATACAGCAAGGATAAATAAATATGTTAACATTCATATGGCAGACCAATTATTCCTCAAACAACTAATGTTTCTTGTTCAATTAGAAATAAATTACCTTAAAAGTATAAACTCCACGATGAGTGTCTTTTGTCTTTTCCGTCACAAGCAGTTAGAGCCTAAAAATTAATACTCATCTAGATGCTTCGACCTCAGAGCATAACCTTGTACACAAAACTGGAGCAGCTCCTGTATAAACAAATAATGGCACGGGAGTGCCGCAACGACAGCCTATATAATCTATACGAGAAACAAGCTAGCCACCCAAACAAAAAACTGAAAAACCTGGAAATTTTCTTATTCCAGATTCATGATAAGCGGGGACTGTCAACTTCATGGCAACTTTGTTAACAATGTCATACCTTGAAATTCACCGGCAGAAGTTGCTAAGGGAGGATTCTCAGATCATCAAACACGTGTGTCAGTTAACTCACACATACTTTAAGGGAGGGTGTTATCCCTTTCTTTCATATTTTTTTGCAAACTCCTTGAGCAGTAAGCTCTGGCGGAAAGCCATATATTTATCTAAGCTAGTTCCAGCCCATTGTTGACAGAAGCATTCATCAGTTGGGACCAATGAACTTAGAGGAAATGGTCCCTTAGGAGCTTTCTTCAGAGAAACCAAGAATCTATGTCGAGGGCGAATTCTCTGGTCCAATGACAAGCTTAGGTACATAGGATATTTGGTCAAGGAATGCACTTCGTTATGAAGTTCATTTATCAAGTACTTGTACTTCGGCTTTAAATTATCCTCCAGTGATAGGGATAGTACCTGCAAGGATATATGTCAGAAATCGAAAAATTGGTCAAGATTCAGAAATTAACTTGTGAAGTGGGAAGAAGCAAGAAACATCCAAATAGAAAGAATGCATCAATACTTTAATGGGCATAACAGAAAGTAAGCATACCTGCGTTAGACTAGTTAAAACTTTCAAGATGTCAGAATTACACATCCCAATACTCCTAAGGAAATTGATCCTGGGCAGTAGCCCATCATCAATGCTATAGTGGAGGAACTGCGGATGTTTTTTAACCATCTTCACTATACTATCTCTGGGTGCTCCTATCTCCTTAGAAAGAAATAGCAAACGAGTATTCCATGATATATCAATCCTCTGAACCAGAATTTGAGGGCTTAACTGCACAACTTTACCTAAATCTTTTTCCTTAATCCCGACCTCTTCAACTAAGTATCTCACAGTCGGTTTCAACGAGTTCTCAACACTATAGGAGAACAGGGATGGTGTAGCAGCAATAATCTGCCCGACCCTGGAACTTGGAATGCCCAGATTCATCAGGAAAGCAACATGGGACTTCAAATTGTTCTCAACAGTATATTCAAGGATCTGTGGCTGCCTCAAAATCATTCTTCTTACATCTCTCTGTTTGACACCAACACTCAACAAATATTCCAACCTTTCCTTTGCTGAGCACACATTTATTTGAAGAGAAGGCATATGCCTCTCATACATTTGAATAAAGTGCGATTCCTTAAGCCCAAATGTGCTTAGATAATCAATAAGGGGTAACCATTTCTCATCCAATTCGACATCTTCTGACAGCCGAGGGAATCTATCCTCCATAGCCTTCCTTCTTGATAGCTGCAATCAAAGAAAAAAAATCAGCACTTTCGTACCAAATGGTGTACAAATGTTTTAGTACAGTTGATCATAGAATTTGAAATCTCTTCATATCAATCCACAAAGCTACCTTTCCCTTGCGAGGTACATCCCCAGAAGTGACTTCCTTTGTTTTGCTTGGACTATGATAGTAGTCTTCCTTATTACTCTTCTCTAGAGTGCGCTTGCTGTTTCTGCCATCCAAATGACCGTTGGACAATCCTTTGTGGGATTTGGGCCTCTTTCCATTCACATCAAAGTCTGAAATTTCCGCAAAGTCATCCTGGAGAAGCAATACACACAAAAAATTCAGACGATGTGCAAACAAACAAAAAGCAAGGTT